ATCCCCGTCCTTATTATTATCTTTTTCTTGCCTTATCATACATAAGTTATCAAATCTTTAACATTCCCTACTTTTATTGAAGATCTGGACATCTGACCTTTTGTTTGTTCATCTCTTTTTCTTTTCTGGGTGCCTTTCTACTATAATCAAAATGGCCAGGTTTCTTGGAAACAATAGTCTCTCCGGACCTCTTCTGAACCAAAAGAGCGATCAACTTCAGACTATGTAAGTCCTCGTTTCTTAAAGTAGTCATAAGCATTCTAATCCTATCTTACACAAGCTCTTAATAACTTTCATGCATTTTGTGTCTTCTGATTCTATTTTGTTATTTGCAGAGATTTGTCTTACAATTTTTTATCAGGAAGCTTTCCCCAGTGGGTGACCAATATATCGCAAGTGTACGTGTCCTTTTATCTTTCACCTTCATTTTACAGTTTAAATCACCAGAATATGTTCGGACAAAAAATTATCGCTGAGATTCGTTTTCACAGTGCTACTTGCCTACTAAGTTTTGATCTTGTATTCATTTGATAAAGATACAGTTCTTCATATGTTGATTGATTAATGATTTTATGCAGGAACTTAGTGGTCAACAACTTCACATTTGACAATTCAAACATAACGTGAGTTGAAGTTTCTCTTACTCGTTTAGACAAGCAATACCATCACTACTCTTCCACTACATGATTCTATTTGGATAACTAATAATTGTTCTCTGTGTTTGCAGTCTTCCTGGATTGAATTGCCTCCAGAGAAATTTTCCATGCAATCGAAATACCCCACGATGTAATCTGCTCTTATGTCACCCATCATTTACTATTTTAACGCAACATCATGTTAGAGGAAAAGGCATTGCTTCTCTAGTTATGTATACATATGGGTATAGATTGCAAGCATGTTTTCATAAGTTCAGTAATACGCATAACTGGTTAGAAATATGTGACTGAAGAACATTAGTATGAGTCTTCAATTTGAAGTTTCATCGCTAATCATGGGCAGATTCTGGTAAAAAAAAATTACATGAAACTTTACAGATGCAAGCTTCTCAATCAACTGTGGTGGACAGCAAATGAAGGGAGATGGCATATTGTATGAGACTGATGAATCAGTTCTTGGCTCAGCAACATTCAGTGTAACCAGTGCAGAGAATTGGGCAGTCAGCAATGCCGGTTTGTTTTCTGCCCAATATACCTCATCGTCTCGGGAAAATAACCCATCGTTGGAAAATACCCATGCACAAGTCAGCGGAACAGACGTGACCCCGGAGCTTTTCCAGACTTCAAGAGTGTCCAGAGGATCACTGAGATACTATGGCCTGGGCCTTGAGAATGGGCCCTACACTGTAACATTGCACTTTGCAGAGACGGTTTATGAAAGTCGCACTTCGCAAACTTGGAAAAGTCTAGGACGGCGTGTATTTGATATCTATATTCAGGTAAGACTGCTTATAGAATAAAAATTCTAACTTATTTGAAGTAAACACCTCATTGGACTGGTTTTTGATGTTTTAAGCTACATTAACTAAAGACAGTGATTTAAAGAAGACTAGAATTATCACCTACCTCTTCATTTGGTTGCTAGGGTACCCGCAGGATGAAGGACTTTGACATATCGAAAGAGGCAGGTGGTGTTAACCGAGCAGTTGTGAGAAAATTTAATGTTAGCGTGTCAGAGAATTATCTTGAAATTCATTTGTTCTGGGCTGGTAAAGGGACTTGTTGCATACCCAGTTATAATGATTACGGCCCACTAATAGCAGCCGTCCATGCTGCTTCAGGTATAATTTGTGTTCACTTATAGAGATTTCCTATGAGTGGTTTAAATGTATTTTTCTGCTATTAATTGACATTGAAGAATTCGTCTGTTTTATCACTTAGATTTTACAAAGAAGAGCAATACTGGGTTGATAGTTGGTATTCCAGTTCTTGTTGGAGTTGTGAGCTTGCTATTAATATTTGCAATTCTATATATGAGGAGGAAAAAATCAGAAAAAGAAGACGATGAAGGTAAACGACCATATCATTAACACATAGAAGTAAGAATGCTTTCATGAAAGTAAAACTTATGTCATACTGTTTTGTGAATGTGCAGATATTCTAGGATTAGGCCCCCGGCCATACTTTCAGTTATGTTGAATTAAGAACTGCAACTGAAGATTTTAATCCTTCAAATAAGCTAGGAGAGGGAGGATATGGCCCCGTTTATAAGGTGAAATCCGTATTACATCAATATCATGTACTTGAAGTAATGAAGAGAAAAAAGAGAGAGCGAGAGAAGAAAATATAGCTTCTGTTTTCTTTCCTTTCACGTCACTTAATTGTGTTTCTGTGTACATTGTAGGGTACACTTTCTGATGGTAGAGTAGTGGCTGTGAAGCAACTTTCAGTATCATCTCACCAAGGGAAGAGTCAATTTGTATCTGAAATTGCTACCATATCTGCTGTGCAACATCGGAATCTAGTGAAATTGTATGGATGTTGCATTGAAGGCAGACACCGCATTTTGGTTTATGAGTATCTTGAAAACAAGAGCCTTGATCAGGCACTTTTTGGTACAAACCTATCTACTTTTAGGTTGCACATAAATAGCATTGTCAGCAGTTTCAAGCACTCTAAAATTGTTAAGAAATGTTTTTGATTGGATGTGTTCACTAATATTTCAGGAACAAGTAACTTGCACCTTGACTGGCCTACTCGATTCAATATATTGTTGGGAACAGCAAGAGGATTTGCTTACCTTCATGAGGAGTCAAGGCCAAGGATTGTACATCGAGATGTCAAAGCGAGTAATATTTTGCTTGATGCAGAACTCTCCCCAAAAATATCAGATTTTGGACTGGCAAAGCTTTATGATGACGAGAAAACCCACATCAGCACCCGGGTTGCAGGGACAATGTAAGCCATCCTTTATTGTTTTTCCAAAGGATACATACATTATGGCCACACACATTTTTACTTGCATGAAATTTTCACACATGTTAATAATGCCTCTAATTATCTCAAGTAACATTGTGCAACCGTTTGATTATCTTGCATTGCAGAAGCTATTTGGCACCGGAGTATGCAATGTTTGGACATTTGACAGAGAAGGTCGATGTGTTTGGTTTTGGAGTCGTCGTTTTAGAGATCCTCAGCGGGAGACCAAACTCTTATAATAACTTACATCCAGAAAAGATTTCTCTTATTGAATGGGTAGGAATTGCATTCGCCTAGCTTCATTTAGGCATTGTTGTGAAAAACTTATTTATACTTTCCTTTGACTGTGGCATAATGTTTTTTCAGGTGTGGACTCTACATGAAAACGACCAAACTCTAGGGCTGGTGGATCCAAGATTGACAAAGTTTGATGAAACTGAAGCAACTAGATTGATAAGAGTAGCTCTCATGTGCACGCAGGGATCACCGATGGCACGGCCATCTATGTCACGCGTGGTTGCAATGCTCTCTGGAGACATTGACATAGGCACTGTCATGTCGAAGCCAAGCTATTTGACAGATTATGATTTTAAAGATGTAACAACATCGTTAACAAGTAGATTTTTGGTGGAGGATGATACCCCATCAACTTCATCCAAGGGTAGTAATGTTCGCCTCAACTATCAATCGAGAGGCAGCAATGCAAGTGGTGCTAACGCTCCCTGGATTGACCATGCACCTTCTGTAAACGTCACTCAATCACTGCTCGCTGAAATTAGAGGAGAAGGAAGGTGATAAATATCAGGAACTGATTTTCGCATGCTCTCTCTTTTGGTAGTGGGTAGGGGACTGGCATCACAGGCATCACCGATGAGAACAACTCTCCTGTGCACGCAGGCATCACCGATGACGAGGCAGTCTATGTCACGCGTGGTGGCAATGCTCTCTAGAGATATTGACAGGCATTGTCATGTCGAAGCCGAGCTATTTGACAAATTATGATTTTAAGGATGTAACGACATTGTCAACAGGTAGCTTTTTCATGAAGGATGATACCCCATCAACTGCATCCAAGCATGGTAATGACCGCCTCAACTATCAGCCCGAAGGCAACAATGCAAGTGGTGCTAACACCCCCGTGGTTGACCTTGCGCCTTCTCCAGTAAACGTCACTCAATCACTGCTCGTTGGCATTATAAGAGAAGGAAGGTGATAAATAATGGGAAATGATTAACGCATGCCATTTATCCTTTTGTGCACCCATGTACTTGTCCTTGGGTCTTTTTTGCCTCTAAGGTTTTGGCTATGATGATGTATATCTAAAAATAGATACGATTTTATAGATATTTGGTTCAAACTTACATGTCAATTTTGTGTTAGTATGTTGCGGTGTAAATCTCCTCTTTTAATCAAAAGGAAAAAAATGGATGTTTCTTTTTCTATAGTTGATGCTATTCACTCCCATTTTAATTTCTCACACATTTTTTTGGTAATTTTTGTCTTTTGGTCTTTTTTAATTCATTCGATCCGACAGCCGAAAATTAAGAAGAGTGGATGGAGATAAAATAGGTGTGAATAGCACCACCCTTTTCTATCTGATAGCCAAGTATGTATAATAAAACATAAGCAATCTTAGTAGATGCCTATAAACAAAAGCCACAAGTTGGCTCTAGATTAGTTATTGTCAATTGTTGATTGATTACGGTGTCACCCTAATGTGACTCTTTGGTAGGGTTTTTGCATAAGCCAACTCTTTTACATGAATGATTATTAATTGTTGGTCGATCAGTGTCACCTGAGAAAATCTTTGGTTAAATTGCCATGCAAGTGTCGCCTTTCTCACATGAGTGGTCTCAACGGTGGGGCCAGGTAAAACCAAAATGTAAGGAAGTTCATGCTCACCAAAGCAAGATCAACCCGTTTAAGGCTGTGGTACTCGTCTAGTTGTCTTTGTGCCTTTTTTCTTTACATTTGGAAGTACCAGTGCCAGATCACTTGAGGCAACAAGTCCAGCCCCATATTTTATTCGTTTCTATTACCTCCATTGAAAGTGACCGATAGAATTTGAACGTTATAAGCCTACCGTTTCCAGTCCCACTTTTGTCACTCACTTTGCTCTTCTCTACAAAAGTATTAATTACATGCGCACACGCACACGCGCGCGCGCGCACACACACACACTTATTAGCAGCACATATACACCTATATATATACTGTTTCTTAGTCTCATCAGAACTCAAAGAAAGAATGAGAGCTTTGGAGAAGTGAAAGTAGTAGCAGAAACTAGAAGAACAAAGGGAGACATCTTAATCTCCCCCCAGAAGTTGAAGTTGCTGCCTGTCAAGAAGTGTTTGTATGTGGTCAAGGCAAGCACCTTCTTGACCATCTTATCTGGCTTCAAATTCTCATTCACTACCTCTTCTAGAATCACATCGAACACCTTCCCGAAATCAGTTGTCCAGTCCTGGCTTTTGATCAAAGTCTACATATATTCAGCCCTCGAATTAAGATCCTCACCTTGTATCGAATGCAGCTAAGGGTTTTGGCTTTAGGTGACCACTTTTCCCTTCCATGGCTCATCACTCAATTGAAGCAACAAAAGCCCCAAAGCCAAACTTGCCGACAAGGTGTTGTCGACATCACATAGCCAACCAATTCTTATACTTTCCCTACTTTGAGTAGACCTCCATCACTTTCTTCCACTTAACATCAGCCTCATGTTCGAGCTCAAGTTACTTGATATAGCTTAATATGTCATGCGAAAGCAGCTGCATCGCCAGGATCAACCTCATTGGTTGCAGCCAGTTGCTCTTGCTTGTACTCCGCTCTATAACCCCACCGGTTGGCAGGTTCCCAGCCCTCTGATGCCATAGTTTTTCTCAAGGGCGACAAAACCTCCTTCCTCAGTCGGTCAATACAACAAAGACTACCATCCCCTTCTCAGAGGCATGATTCTGACAACATATGATGATCAGCGATGGTAGGCAAAAAGGTAGTCGCTTGGGTAATCTCCAAGCAGTAATCATCATGATGGTCATGGTCCTTGTGATGATGAAATTTTCAATATCAAACTCAAGGCACAGGGCAAAAATATCCGAAACACATTCGTGCAATAAGCGATAATCAACGTCGCACTCGTATCTCTGAGCCGCCTTGTTGGTCGTGTGGATCGCCTTCCTCCTTAACAACAATTCGCTTGCCTTTGAGTTGACGTTCTTTTCCTTGACCTTCACCATTTTGTTTGAATCTGCCTCCTCCCTCGTCCTCCCAGTAAATTTCAAGTGAGCTTCACCCCGTAAAACCTGCGAGAGAATGCAAGGAAGGTCTAGGATATGTCCAAATGAGCCGGAAATTGGCACAAGATTGTAGGCAAGGGTTTTGGGGTGGTTCTGGTGGAGCCAAACCGCTGCCGCGAAGAAAGCTTCGTCTTGGTTACATTTTCCACCATAGTCGCGTATGTCTATGAAGTTGCAAATGAGTTTATGGGTGGTTAGAGGATTGTGCGACCAGCTGAGGGAAACACTTGGTTCATCAGAGTTTTGTGGAATTCCACGGTCGACATGGCGTCCTTGGCGCAGTGGAAGTACAGATCAACGCATGGGTTGTTGATGTTGTGGAAGCCTAATTGGGGTTGTTTGAATTTGAACCGATCGGACCGCAGCAGAGCAATTCTTGTGAATTGCGGTCAAACGACCTTATTTCAGCATGCTTTCAGAATCGATATCACTAGCAGGAATGCTCGCGCTTTGCTGCGAGTTTTCAAACCATGGATAATATTCATAGAAAAAATAACTGAAAATGCTACAGAATTACAATAACATTCTTAAACGTAGCAATTCAGACAACACATGTTTCACATGAGTAACACTCACAAAACCACACATTTACACAATTATCTCCAAATGAAAGAAAGCAAGAGATAGGTGAATTGATCCATAAAATAAGTAGTTCAATTTACATTGCTACTATCTTGTAACTTATTAGAGCTTCTTTGCAGATCAATCATAATGATTTCTTCATTGCTTTCACCAAATATTTCTATAGTTCTACTCTAGTAGTCCAATCGACAGAACAAATAGCAAGTGCGATTTTATTCACTGCTTTGAATGTGTTGTAAAGATAATACCACCAACTATGGGTGGCAATTGATTCTTGTGATAACATACTATAAAAGTAAAGGTATGGATAAAAAAGAAAATGCGTCCTTTGAAAGATCTAGAACAAACCTGAAGAAGAACCTGAAGAAGCACCTGAAGAAGAACATCAAACATCCCTGTGGTGATCATAACATGCAATACCCAAAGAAAAATAATTTAAGAAAAAATAAACCTATTCATCACATAATGCTAAAATACATATGCCAACATATCCATAATTTCTATGTTTACGGAACATCTTTCGATAAATCACAACCTTCATTTTAAAATGGACTTTTGTATTTGTATTTTGCTTGTGAGTATGGTCTTGGTTAAAACTTGGCATTCTAGCATTTACTTATATGATATCATATAGCAAGAAAGCTATGAGACCCGAGTCAGTTTATTGTATTCTCAGACCCTCAAAATACTAGAGCTAGACAGAGATAAACAACAACACGAAAGAGAAACTTCTACTTTACATGTACACTAACATTTGCATGTGCAAAGCTCTCTTTCCTCCTTTCCTTTCTTTTCTTCCTCACCTTTCGGTTCTTTCTCCTAGATTAAGGAGATTGTTGTTTTGTTGTTAGTGGTTGCCATCATCATCATCACATTCAAATCAACTTTTGTAATTAAGGCGTTCTACGCGCGACTTATATAATTTAAATGATAACAAAAGAACGGTTGATCTCTGATCTAATTGCAGACACAATCTGCAGAACCGTCTTCTATGGGATTTGAACTTATGAAGTGTGAGGTGGAGACCTGAATGTAACAAATTGGTTTTAAGTGAATAATTCCAAACATATAAAATTTAGATCATCACACCGAACGCAAACCGAACAATTAAATAAAGAACTGAAGGCATAAGCAATCTAACTAGACAAATAAGTGAACTTTCCCATGCCAAAATCTGAAAGGCCAACAGAAATATTTCATTACAGCACAGAAGACAAAACTTAAAACTAATCAAACTTAGGTGAACCAATTATAGAGAACATAACCCTTGTAACCAATCGGGAAAAGATGCTTAAACAAAATTAAGAGGAGTTTTTAAAAAAACCATCATTTCAATTATTTTCCAGTCTTACATTTGGATTAAACAGAAAATATAAGTAAAAATGCCAACTTTCTTAAAAAACTACGACTATTTTTACAAATTTCCAATACCCAATACTGAAAAATGAGAATCACGAAGCAATGAAGAACGGAACACGCGAGAACCAAAAAGTTAAAAACAACACGTAACCATTTCAAAGGCCCAAAATCCTGCAAGGACAAAAAAATCCGATAAAATAAGTACATCAGCACTCCCTGCAAAACCCCAAAATCAGAAAATTATAAAAAGAACCCAAAATCAGTGGCATGGTCCTCGTTTCTCCATCATTCAGTAGCTAATGACCTAATGGAAAAGAACCCAAAACATACAGCTTAAAATATGGAAAGTGCTTATAAAAGCTCATGAATAACTTTCAAAGCCTGCATAGAAATGGTATAGCGCAGATAACAACAGACAATAAAACTATGCACAGTATAACCTAAATCTGATATGTTGCATTCCACACACACAGATTGTTCAAAATTAATTTCGTCTCCGTCTTTTTTCAAATCTGATAAAATCCCCAAAACACAAAAAATAGCAGCTAACTATTTTTTAAACTCTGTAAACAACGATATGCATCTTAACCCATTTAACATATTCATAAAATAACATCAAACACATTTATGCATGAGATAATATAGAAGTGAAGTCTCACAACTTTCATAAAAAGTTATTACTTTGTTAGAGAAAGGCTTGAAAAAATATGTAAATTACTCACGTCTATTACAAAAATGTTACAACAGCAGACAAAAAAGGCCAAAAATACCAAAAGCCGCACCTCCTGAAATAAAAACATAACCAAACGACACATTCACAGTATCAATCTAAACGATATCCAGAAAAAAAATGAAATGAACAGACAAAACCCATGTAAATATACAGAACAAACCAAAAGAAAAAAAAAAGAACTGAAGCCAGTAAGAAGATCACAAATCTGATAAAGCAAAAGGTAACATAATCTATATCGATTTAATTATCCATCCAAAATGACAGAATCTATATCGATTTAATTATCCATCCAAAAAGACATTTGAACGAAGAATATTTTTAAGGATCCAAACAACCATTAAACTAAACAATTAAAAGTAAAAACAGCAAAGCATTCATTGAAGAAATATATATATATTATAACGTATTTGGTTTTTTATACCTAAAAGAAAAACATTGGCTTTCTTGTATGCATTGAAGTATGCATGTGTCGGAAATTTACAATCTATAGAGACTCAATCTTAGACTCAAAAAGACATTTAAAGGAAAAGTAATAAGAAAAATAAGTAGTGGTTTTACCTATACTCCATGTGTGGACTCCAATTTTCAATCACAATTCAAAATTCAAGAGGCCTATAAATCAACCAAATAGGAAATGATCAGTGGAAGAAAAAGAAAAACAACTGAAGCCAAAATAGCATCTAACAAATCATTTAGAACCATCACAGAAAACAATTTTTGCATATAAGTAATTTAAAGGAATACCATCAGGTCATGCATATATACAACGTACCCAATTAGATAAGAAGCACATCAACAATTGATGATCAAAAAGTTAGTCAGCCTCAATTGCTTGAATCCAATTAACTCAAAGATAATAAACAGTCCATTTAACGCACGGGCTGACTGTCAATTTTATAAAGCTATAATTCTGTGCAGTTCAAAAACCAAGTGGAAGAATAGGCAAAAACTATCTCATCGCCTGTAAATGTAATTAACTAAATATTAAACTTCACAGCCACAAATAAACCTAAATTCCTCCTAAAACTATCTCATTTAAGCTTGATTTTACTATAATCTATAAGTGTGGTAAAAAATGGGAGGCCAAACGATTTGTTAACAAAAAAGGTAGACATAGAAGTAAAAGGAACAGGGCAGACATTAGTTGAGGAGAAGCTAATGTCACCTTGAATTGACGACAAACAGTTCTTATCTTCTCGAATTAACGAAGATAAGTACCATTTTTCTTTAATTCAAGGTAATATAAAAAGAAATTATACCTGTACAGTGTTCAGATGTAGCAATCCTATGCAATCGGCTAAATGATGTGTGTCCTCTCAAAGATCTGTATATCCATTACAGACTAATCTTCAGTCTTGCAGAAAATGATATGTTGACTACAATTTCCCATACTACTAAAAAACACAAATAATTCTATCTACAAACCAAATAATACGTGCAACTTTATGCTACAATGGTAGAATAAGATGGTTGTACAGGACGACACAAAGATTGAGACTTTTTTTTACTTCTAAAATTCTACACACTTTCGAGCCCTAAATTTTCGCGGAAACAAAAGAAAGTGAAAGAAGTCGTACCTGGTTTGAGAGAGTGGGACGCCATCGGCGAGTTTGGTGTAGCAGTGATGGCGGAGATCTCTGGTGAGAAAGCTAATAAGATGGACAAAATCATTGAACAAAAAAAACCTCGATTTTTAAAATTAAAGTCAACAAAAATTTGAACAAAGAAAAGAGAACTCAAACCCGAAACAAATAAGTCGGAGAACTCGCCAGGAAACCCAAAGTTTCTGCAGGATTGGCGATTTCCTGAAAACCAAGCTTTTGTAGGTTTAAAATTTCTTCCCTAAGGCAACAGATCCAACATTCCCAACTTTAAGCTATTTCAGCTACATAATAGAAAGAAAAAAAATTTAATTTATATAATTAACTAATCTGATTTAAGATTAATCGAAAAGCTTGGAAATTTCAGCTTTAAAATTACATGTCAGGCTGCAAATCTAATAAAAAGCGTAGAATTTTAAAAATGCTGACCTTAAATACAGAGGCCTTCGCAGGCTGCAAAGAAACGTCAGAAACCCGAAAAACCGGATCTCCTGAAACCAAAAACAAAACCAAATTAACCATCATCACCCATAATTCGAAGCCACAAACAAAATCCCCAAAATTACAACCCAAAAATTTAAACAAAAAAACCTATTTATAAATCCAAATTTACACTCCCAAGTGCAAGACTCTAAGCTCCAACTGTTCTTTCTCAACTTTAGCTATTTCAGCAACATAACATAAATAACAACAACAACAAAACCTTTTCCCACTAAGTGGGGTCGGCTATACGAATCCTAGAACACCATTGAGCTCGGTTTTGTGTCATGTCCTCCGTTAGATCCAAGTACTCAAGTCTTTTCTTAGGGTCTCTTCCAAAGTTTTCCTAGGTCTTCCTCTACCCCTTCGGCCCTGAACCTCTGTCCCGTAGTCACATTTTCGAACCGGAGCGTCAGTAGGCCTTCTTTGCACATGTCCAAACCACCGGAACCGATTTTCTCTCATATTTCCTTCAATTTCGGCTACTCCTACTTTACCTCGGATGTCCTCATTCCCAATCTTATCCTTTCTCGTGTGCCCACACATCCCACGAAGCATCTTCATCTCCGCTACACTCATTTTGTGTACGTATTGATGCTTCACCGCCCAACATTCTGTGCCATACAACATCGCTGGCCTTATTGCCGTCCTATAAAATTTTCCCTTGAGCTTCAGTGGCCTACGACGGTCACACAACACGCCGGATGCACTCCTACCCTTCATCCATCCAGCTTGTATTCTATGGTTGAGATCTCCCTCTAATTCTCCGTTCTTTTGCAAGATAGAACCTAGGTAGCGAAAACGGTCGCTTTTTGTGATCTTCGCTAGATTGCTCCGGTCATTAGTGTGGATAAGTATATAAATGGATAGAGATAGGAAAGCAAACACAAGATGTACGTGGTTCACCCAGATTGGCTACGTCCACGGAATAGAGGAGTTCTCATTAATTGTGAAGGGTTTACACAAGTACATAGGTTCAAGCTCTCCTTTAGTGAGTACAAGTGAATGATTTAGTACAAATGACATTAGGAAATATTGTGGGAGAATGATCTCGTAATCACGAAACTTCTAAGTACCGGAGTGTGGTATCGTCTTGACTTGCCTTATCTGTCTCATAGGTAGATGTGGCATCTTTTCTGGAAGTACTCTTCCTCCATCCAGGGATGGTATCTTTAACTGGTGGAGATGCACAAGGTAATGTATCAATTTCACTTGAAGCTTACTTGTAGTTTCAGGCTTGGTCAAGCGCGATACAAACCATGTAGTAGGAGTCTCCCAAGTCGCCGAGCTAGGGGATCAGCTAAAAGAGGTGACAGACAAGGTAAGCAATCAGAGCTCCGGCTGATTGTTCACATTCTCCCTATCTTGCAGGCAGCATGAAGGATAAAGAAAAGAAAAATGAGAAGAGATGATATGGGATACTTTTACTTTTGAAGAAGTAACTTTCCACAAGCTTATTCTAGAACTGGGCTGGAGGGTTTTCTGGTTTCCTCCAGAGTATAAGGCCGACTGAAGAATTTGAGGGTCAAAACAAGTCCATCAAATCTAGAGTACGTTCGACCCTGCTGATATGGGATGTTTTTGCTTTTGACAGAGTAGTGGATGTATCGGCACGTGTGTTGTTACGCTTGTCTCCACATGTTTCCTTGTATCCTTCTCACTTGCCCTATCTGTTCCTCAGGCAGATGCGGTATCTTCCCTAGAAGCATAAGATGTTGAAGATGAGTACTCGAGAACAATGCCAGATAAGTAATCAGGTAAGGGGTTCCAGGCAGTCAGTTCCTGGCTGGAAGCTTGATTCCAAGTGTTGACTGATTGCTCTCTTTCTCCTTGTCTTGCAGGTAAGAACAAGGCCAAAGGAAAAGACAGGGAAAAAGCATGATATGGGATACTCTTGCTTTTAACCCTGATGATATGAGATGTTCTTGCTCTAGTATAGCTTGTTTGCAGAGGTATTATCGGGGGGAAAGAAAGCTGAATATTTCGAAAGGCTTCGTTGGGAGTGCCCTCTCAGATAAGAGGAAGGGTTGAGCATTTTTGCAGGTCTGCCTGTCCGTTGGGGATGGGGGTCGACATATATAGGAGTCTCCCTAACATCAAGTAATAATGCTATTCCTTTACCCTCCTTGGTCATAGCACGGTAGTGGGAGCTGCCAGCTTCACATGTTTTAACTCTGTCAGAGCACTTTGAAAAAGTGGTCTGTGGTATCTGGAAAGCTGATGTTGCGTGTGAAGATTACAGACAAGCTTTATCCACGGAGATCCAGCTCTTGAAGTTGGGAAAGTGGTGCCTCTTCGGTTTTCGAACAAGCAATCCTGTCGGGGATCTGGCTCTCGAGATTCGGAGAACGATGCCTCTTCGATTTTTGAGAAAGCAATCCTGCTGGGGGTCTGGCTCTCGAGATTCGGAAAGCGGTGTCTCTTCGATTTTTGAGAAAGTAATCATGTTGGGAGTCTGGCTCTTGAGATTCGGAGGGCGGTGCCTCTTCGATTTTGGAGCAAGCAATCTTGTTGGGAGTGTTTTCTCGAATGTGAGTAAAGGTTGGGCATGTTTGCTAGTCTACCTTGCCACGAAGCACAGAGGTTGACGCAGGACTTTCCAATTATCCAGCAGTGGTACTGTTCCTTTACCCTCTCTTCGATTTTTGAGAAAGTAATCATGTTGGGGGTCTGGCTCTCGAGATTCGGAGGGCGGTGCCTTTTCGACTTTGGAGCAAGCAATCTTGTTGGGAGTGTTTTCTCGAATGTGAGTAAAGGTTGGGCATGTTTGCTAGTCTACCTTGCCACGAAGCACAGAGGTTGACACACCGGGACTTTCCAATTATCCAGCAGTGGTACTGTTCCTTTACCCTTGTGGGTAATAATATGGTAGCTAGACCTTCAAAATTTATGTGTCTAAACTTTGTTAGTGTTGTTTCTTTGCTATTCTTTTACCCTTCTTGGTCAGAGCGATGTAGTGGGAGCTGCAAGCTTCACGTGTCTCAACTTTGTCAAAGAACTTTGGCAAAGTTATCTGTGGTACCCATGAGCTACTGTTGCGTGTGGGAAGTGGGTGATTGAACAGAACGATTCATGTGCTTTCTACTTCACCAGAAATCTTCGACAGAATGCCCATAATTTCCGCAAAGCTGAGTGCATATGACAGGTGCTGACAAGGCTGGAAAAGTAGGTGCCTCTTCGATTTCTGAGATCGACCCTCGTGGTCTCTAAGCAGCCCAGCTTTTGAGAAAGCAAGCCTCTTCGATTTCTGAGATCGGCCTTCGTGGTCTTTGAGCAGCCCAGCTTTTGAGAAAGCAAACGCCTCTTCGATTTCTGAGATCGACCCTCGTGGTCTCTGAGCAGCCCAGCTTTTGAGAAAGCAAACGCCTCTTCGATTTCTGAGCAGGCGCCTCTTCGATTTCTGAAGCTTCGTCGAGTGCAGATTTTTATAGGGGATGGCATTAAGTTCCAAAGCACACTTGAATCTCCACCAGTAGAAGCTCCATTCTTGCACTTCTAAGATCTTGATTTTTTCCGACCTTTTCTCTCTTCAACACCTTTGAAAATGTCTGGCCCCTCCGACCGTCGTTTTGACTTGAACCTTGTTGAAGAGGCAGCCCCGCCTTCTCCAGACAACATATGGCGCCCATCCTTCATCTCCCCTACTGGTCCTCTTACCGTTGGGGATTCCGTGATGAAGAATGATATGATCGCTGCGGTAGTGGCCAGGAACCTTCTCACTCCCAAAGATAACAGACTACTTTCCAAACGGTCTGATGAGTTGGCTGTTAAGGATTCTCTGGCTCTCAGTGTTCAGTGTGCAGGTTATGTGTCTAATATGGCCCAACGCCTATTTGCTCGAACCCGCCAAGTTGAATCATTGGCGGCTGAAGTGATGAGTCTCAAACAGGAGATTAGATGGCTCAAGCATGAAATAAACAGTTGCACCGGCTCGCACATGACTATGCTACAAACATGAAGAGGAAGCTTGACCAGATGAAGGAATCTGATGGTCAGGTTTTACTTGATCATCAGAGATTTGTGGGTTTGTTCCAAAGGTATTTATTGTCTTCGTCTTCTGGGGCTGTACCGCGTAATGAAGCTCCAAATGATCAACCTCTGATGCCTCCTCCTTCTAGGGTTCTGTCCAGTACTGAGGCTCCGAATGATCCCCCTCCGGTGCCTTCTCTTTCTGGGGCTCTACCAACTGCTGAGACTTCTCCTAAGCAACCTTTGTGAAGGCTCCCTCTTGTTTGTTTATTTTGACTCATGCATATGTACCTATTTGTACCTTATCGGGGATATCAATAAATAAGCTTTCCTTCATTTCAACGTATTGTGTTAAATACACCAAAACCTTCTTCGCTAAGTTCTTTGAATTTTCTTTTGTTGAAGCTTGTATGTTGAAGCTTTGTGAGTGGAGCCTGTAGGTTGAGGTAGTGTTCCCTTAATTTCCTGAGTGAGGAAAACTTCTCGGTTGGAGACTTGGAAAATCCAAGTCACTGAGTGGGATCAGCTTCTATGGCCCCCTTGCTCATTTAACACTGCATCCGGGTGCCGATGGAGATACAGCGACCCTTGCTCACTTATCACTGTGCTCGGGCCACACAGCGCGCCACTTACGGGTGACGCCCTAGCTTTAGCGCGATCTTGTTCTGGATTCATTTTCATAAGGATTCGACGTAGTCATGGAGTGCCGGTTGTCGACTACCTGACGCCCTCCCCCTCCTCCTTTATCCGGGCTTGGGACCGGCAATGTAAGATCAATTTAACTATAATTAACTAATATGATTTAAGATTAATAAAAAAAACTTGGAAATCTGCTTGAATTCAATCTCAAAATTGAAAACGAACACTTCACTTTTACAAAAGTTGTACAAAGCAAAATAAAAAAGACAAATCAAAGTCTCACAAAGGGCCACAACGACAGCAAAATTGCAACAGAAAGAGGAAAAATGTTCAATCAAACCATTGGATAACTCTTCTCAGGCAGTCAAAAAAAACCCACAAATTCAAAACCACAAAAATCCAATCTAAAACATCGATTCACAGACTGAGATGCACAAAATGATATATTAACAAATCCAAAACGAAATACAAAAATTAAGAACCAACAAGCAAAAAAATACCGATTATCCCCTGCATAAGTGAGCACACGTTCAAAAAGCCTCTCAAAGGCTGAGATTCAACTTTAAAATATAAAGACTTTAAGCCACAATTGTTCTTTCTTAACTTTAACTACTTCAGTTACATAATCGGAAAAAAAAATTAATTTAATTATAGTTAACTAATCTGGGTTAAGATTAATAAAAAAGCTTGGAAATTTCAGATCTAAAATCACACGTCAGGCTGCAAGTAGAATCAAAACCATGGAATTTCAAAATCACTGACCTTAAACACACAGGTCTTCGCAGGCTTCAATGAAAAGTCACAAACTCGAAAAACCCAATCTCCTGAAATCGAAAACAAAACCAAATTAACCATCATCACCTAGAATCCGAAGCTACAAAACAAAATTCTCAAAATCAAAACCAAAAAATTTGAACAAAAAATCCATTTAAAATACAAATTTACACTCCCAAGCACATAACATTCAAAGCAGACAATTACCCAAATCAAATCGACAGCAGGAGATGCAATCTTTTATGGGCTTCAAATTTTCTTCAAACCGAGACCAAATTCGTTATTTTTCAGCAAGAGAGCGTTGCCGTTTGTAACCCCCGATGAAAAGATCCAAACAAATTTGACTAACAGTAGAGAGAGAAAGAGAGATAGAGAGAGAGGTGAAAATTACTCGCTGGTGACGAAGCTAATGAATTCGGAGACGCATTCCTGGACGGTGTTCGATTGATCGGCACGAGTAGAGACATGAGATCAGAAAGACAGAAAAATTAGGGTTTGGGAGATAAAGAAACTGGGGCAGAGAGAGATGGAAAGAAAGAAGCAGAAAAGAGGATGGCAACTGAAACCTTCCAGCGACTTTGTTCTTTAAAAATAGCTTTATGACAAAATTACCCTTGGATAATTTTATGCATTCTTTTTAGCCGCTTTGAATTTTTTTTGGCCGACAGGCATTTGCGTCCAATTATTTTTGTCGAAGCCGGTGACACCAAAACCGGCCTCCGGCTTTCGAAGAAGGATGGTCTGCTTTCCATTTCCGTGCCTTCTTCGTGTCTCCTGTTTGAGTGGTCACGGTTAAACCACGTTAACATTTTATATTACTATTCATTTTTGTCTTATTATATTTATAAAAATAATAATATAAAATGTAGACGTGGCTTAACCGTGATCACAAAAAACAAGAGGGCACGAGAAGGACAACGGAAGTGGAGGGCAGACAATCCTTATCCCGGCTTTCTATATAAAGATAATTAACTTTAATAATTGTAATAGGAAGTAATGATTATGCCCAACCTTTGGATCAACATTTGTAAGCTATATCAAAAAAAAAAATACTAAAAAAGTTTAAACACAAAACCCCCCAAAATTATAAAATCAAAATATAATGTACTACCCATTTTCTCCCGTTTTTCTCTCGCCCTCCATTTCTGCAAATCACCAACCTCCCTCTCTGCCCGTATACTCCCTACCTCTCTCATAATATCAAAACTCTCAAACCCAATTCACTGCCTCATTACCTAGTTGATAAAAGTCCCTATGACAGTATCAAAGCAACTATAATTACAAAGAAGTTGAGAGATTACTTTCTGATTATCAAAACCATTACTGGCTTTATGCTGACACAAATGGTGCGTTTGTTGCACCGGACTATCTCGGACTGGACTAGCTTCAGGGACTAAAATGGACTGGCTTAGACTAGACTAAGCTGGACTGACTTAGTGAAGCGTTTTTATGCAGTGCCGGATTAAGAAGCAGAACTCTAATATTATATTATTAAATCTATATATACAATATTTTATCATTGATTTAATCTAATCTACTAATTTTTTTATTATTATTTTATCATTTGGCTAGAATCATCTTCTTCATTTTTATCTCCGCCCATAACTCCCAACCCTCTCCCTTTTTTCTGCCTTTTCTCCCTCTTTTTCTCAGTACTACCGTCTTCCCCCAAAAAACCCCAACCCCTCCCTCTCAAGCTTAGCATCACCAATTTAATGGCAGCAATGGTGAGCTTTCCTGTTCAGCTTCCTTTCTCTCTCTTCCCTTTGTTTTTTCGTTCAAATCCCTCTCTCTCTTCCCTTTGCCTCTTTTATCGTCAACTTCACTTGTTCTTCCATGGGTGAGGATTGAAGTTGCAGACGGCACGGGTGGGTGGGGCTGGGTATGGGCATGGGTAGGGATTGGAGTTGCAGACGGCAAAGGGTGCAACTTGGTCGGGTCGCTAAGAATATCGTTGTAGTTCTCTCGGATTTGAAACGAGGGAATGGTCTTGGTGTGGTGTTGTGATCTCGTTGGAGAGAAGACGCAATGTAGACGAAAAAAGGTCTTCGCAGAGGGAGGACGCCAAGCGGTGCAAATGAGACGAAGCAAGTCTCAGCAGTCCCGTGGTTTTCGGGGAGCTTCGCTAAGACGACCTAGCGAGGGAGATAGTCCACACGAGTCTGGACTAGTCTCATTTAAGTTAGTCCCCAAGCTTACCAAACATGGGACAATAATCCTAGCCAGTCCAGTCCCACTTAAGAAGTGAAACAAACGCACCCAAAATCTCACAATATTATTACCACGACCTTATGCATAATAGGAACAACACTATAATCATCTGCCTACCAGAAATTAACTCTTCTACAACAGCAAGTTTAACAACCAACCAACCTTTGAACAAAGAACACACGGACAGGAAGAAGCAGGATACATAAGAGGCAAAACAATTTTCTTACTTCTACATCAAAGCAAAAGAACAACCATTACATAGGTATGCCATTATCATCTGGGGAACAAATCCAATTGGCAGCTTTTACGTACCTACAATTATAAGCAAAGTTTGGAATTCACAAAAAATATTGGGCAAATACCAAGGCTGCCATTTGAAAAAGCTAAACAATAACAAACTTTGACAAATTAACTACAACTAAATTCAGATGACATTCAATGTATGAAGACAATCTGAGAAATCAAAGGCTCTAAAATCAATACCATATTTCATGTGCCTTTTATTGATAGTGAACCCATCAGTATAACCAGGATAAAAATTTGATTTAGAATCTTGCTATCTTTGTCCTTGTAAATATGATATTTTGGCATCGGCAATATATCATAAAAAAAAAACAAATATATCTGAATTCAAAGAAAATATAGAACAAAAATAAAAAAGCAAATTATGAACGCGTAGAAGCTAATTTCATTAGCAATTAAAGCAACCAAGTTCTCTCAACATCAAGATTCAGAACCCCCAGGAACCCAGAAATTTGATGAAAATTTTTCTAATCACTCAATTGGATTAGACAAAATCATGAATTTTTTTCTAAAGCCCAATTATATTAAATCACAAATTAGAAGCAGATTTTGACATGCAATAAGTCAACAAGATAGGAATTGCTTCAGACTAACCTCGATGGCAAGGCCTCCGGAATCGCCCGATCTAAACCAACCAAAAAAAAATCTATTCACATGATCTTCAACCTAACTATAAAGAGGAGCTTTATAACATAACATGCCAAAACAACCAAGCCCAACAAATTAACGAACTAATTTTTCTTAATCAATAATAGCATACATATTATCAAATTATCAATCAATAATTCACATATCGTTAAGGGTTAAACAAATATATGAAGACTGGAAATTTACTCACACATCTAATATATCCTTGCATTTCTATTTGAATTCAGAGTACGTGGAAATCAAATCAACAAATCAAAGCCCTAAATTTTTATCATCCTGAATTGGAAAAATCTGTAAAATCTAAAATTTTTGACTAAAAATGCTAACTTAGGAATATGAGGAAATTTGCAAATTAGCTAAACAAGACTATTATTTATCCAATCAAATGCAAATTGGAATGGTGCAGAACTAACACTACAAAATTCGTTAAACTAAACAATGGGTAGAATGTTTATAAGATTTATATTTTACACAAAAACTAATCTTCTGAAAAAGCAAAAAACATAAAAATTTTGTTAAGCAATCGCATGGATTATAAATGCCAAAGATTAGATGATGGTAGGCGTCAAATTACCTTTTTCACCGAAGATGCGAAACCCCTCATTGCCGACGTGGCGGGGCGAATCCTCTGTCCTAAAATCTGAACCAACACAAAGATTAGGCAGAAAATCTGAAAGTTCATAAATTGCAGAAGTAGAGGGATTACCATAGCTGATGAGCTTCCAGCTCCTACTTTTTGCCTTAAAATTCCCAACATCTTTGATTCTTTCACACAAAATCACACTGAACGCAAACAAAAATTAGAAACAAAATATGATCTAAGAACTGAAAATTTAAGTGAAAGCACTGAGAGAGATGAGGAGGAATAACAAATGATTTATTGGAAATATGGAAAAAAAAATCAGATTAAAATTTGGACAGAAATAAACAATACGAATTAGGGATTTGGGAGGGGGGACAAACCGGTTTGGAGGATTGGAGCGGGGATCGGATCGATGATGCGATGTGTAAAAAATGAGCGTTAAGGAAGCAGAGCAGCAGCATCCAACACTTTCACGCAGAACTTGTTGAATCCACATCCGCCGTACTAAAAGAAAAGATAAGTAATAGTTTAAATATCCTAACCTCACTCTAACTAACACCGATGCCTTTTGTGATAAAATTTTACACTTGACGGATTATGCAAGTGGTAATTACCAAGTTGGCGATAGTATCGATGTTGTTGGAAGTGGGCCATATGGCCCGTCTCTTTGATAACTCTACATTGTATCAGAGCCAAGGAACGAACCCGTAATGTACTATCACGTGATGGGTGGATCCTCTGGCCCCGTGCGATATGGTGGGTCCCTTGGCCCCGCTTATAGGGTGAGTCCCCTTGGCTCCACGTGGTTGCCAATGTGTGGGTCTTCCACGTGTGGCCCACTAATTGAGTCTCACGTGATGGGGCGTGTTGAATCTCACATCGGCCGTAGTAAAAGATAAGTATTAGTTTAAATATACTAACCCCACTCTAACCAACACTGAGACATTTTGTGATAAAACCCTACACCTGACGGATTGTGCAGGTGGTAATTACCAAGTTGGGGGACAATATCAATGTTGTTGGAAGTGGGCTGTATTGCCCGTCTCTCTGATAATTCTACAGAACTTACTTGGAAAACCCAGATCAAACCAACCTAGATCAAACCAACCTTTAAGTTTCAAGGTTTTTACCCTGGAATCCAGGCAAAACCCAGATCAGATTCTAAATGGGTTTATCAAAAATAATAATTTGATTTTGATCAGAAATGCTTATTCTTGTAGTGGGTGTACATCTAGTAATGCTTATTCTTGTAAATTGTCGTTGCAATAATACAATAATACTCAAAATGATGTAGTGGGTGTACGGATTAAAGAGGGTTTTAGGTGAATGTGATCAGCTTACCCATGTGTCTAATGGATTAAACTAACAAAATAGTATGTGATGTGATATGTTTTAGGTCAACATAACAAGAAAATATTAAACAATGAGTTGTACAGGAAGATACAGATGCTCTTATGTTCTTTGTGAGTTTTTCCACAGTGAGATAATGGGTATATATTACAGAGCCGACTTCTCTGCCCTCCCATTTCCCATACACTCTTATCCCCTTCTATTTTATGCTGTCACGGTTAAACCACGTCAACATTTTATATTGATTTTTTTATAGATATAATAAAACAAAAAGCAATAATAATATAAAATATTGACGTGGCTTAACCGTGACCGCACAAATAAGAAGGAATGAGAGTTTATGGGAAGTGGGAAGGCAGAGAAGCCAGGTCCACCGTCCATATATTACACTCTGTATTTGTACCCTTGCCATGAATGATTAAGGTTTCACCCTAACATTTAAATAATGAATGTAGTGGTCAAGAATTATTAAAGATACAGTAATTACCCTTCTAAGGTGAAATCAAGCTCAAATCTGATGGGT